AGAGAGAGAGAGAGTCTAGAACTCTTAACTTTGACCATAGAAACACTCCTAACCTCCCTTCAAAGAAGAGGCAAAGCCTAAATGCTAAACCAGAGCCTAATACTTGTAAGAAGTCATTAACATTGTTATCCTTGTTTTGAGTCCAAGCACCAACAATAGTAATCCGACCTAGAAATCTCCAACATAGCATCCGGTGTCATCTTCTCAAATTCCTGGAGTCTCCATGGAGGCAAGTTGTTAGAGTTTAGGGTTGCATTTGGTGGGAGAGGGTCCTCCAATGGGTGGTCCTGTGATCTCATCCTCTTATAGAGCCTCATTGTGGCCGCAGCATCTTCGTAGGGATCGTTTACACCAGTTTGAATCTCGTACCTTTTAGAGAGAGAAAAATATTATGCTTCCACATGAAATTTCTTTTTTCTATGCTTTTTTATGGGGATTGTATATATAAACCATTTATCTTTGGTATTGAGATGTCATAATTATTACAACCATTCGATGTGAAATCTGATAGCTTGGGTATGTCATAAAATTCGAAAAAATTTATATAAAACTTTGAACGTGGTCAAAAAAATAAATTCAATTACCTTATTCCACATCCAATGATCAAGATTAATTGTGACCATCTCGTATCAGAGATAATTGGTCTCTTTATATACTTTCCCTTTTTTATGTGGTATGCAGACGAGGAAACAAATTAAATAAAAACAATTGCGATGGTATACTTACCCGAGGTACGCTTGTGTGAGGTATTTGAGCGTATTGCTGAGCTTGCTTGTCTTCAACAAGGGTGGGTACTTGGCAGTGTCCCTAATTTAAGAGGGAGAGGTTCACTTTTAAGGGTACATTTGGTTTGTCTGAAAATGTTTCCACGAAAAACTTTTCATATGAAAATACTTTCTCATGGTAGGAAGCATGGAGGTTTTTCTTTTTACACCAATTTACCCAAAATAGTTTCCCATAAAATGGACCAACATGTATGAAAAAACCTCCATACCTCGTGATATGGGGAATTACTTATTCTCAGTGCATGTTTGTTTTGGCAGAATTTTTGGGGATTTGGAGACCTAAGTTCCACCAAATTGGCTTTGCACCCTGTGGAAGATCATTTCAAAAAGGGTGGCATTCCACGCTCAAGGTCTTTTGATATTGATTTTAGGAAGTCGCCCTTTGCTATGCCAAAGTAGGGAAGGGCCTTTTATATTTTGCGGAAGAAGGGGCTTCCGGTAGCCCCCTCTTTCACAACCAAACATGCCCTTGCAGATTTACTGTGGATTGAATGCTATGAAAGTATGTTTGGATGTACTCATTATTATTGATAGGTCCTTAGTTCAAAATTAATCATGATAGTGATTTATCTATTGTTTGGCAATGTCCACTGTAAAATTATTTGACCTAAATTTATAGGCAGTTTTTCATATAAGTGTATTGTTTTGAATAACTATTTTTACTTTATTAAAAGTAATTTGCTGACAATCATGCGTATTTAGCTAGCAATCGCTGAAATATAATTGCAAATCAAAGAAAAAGTGATTAGTTTTTAGGCGAGGATATTAATAAATAATTAAATAATGTTATACATAATACAAGAAACATACTAAACAAGTAACAAAATAATGTTATAAAGAGTAGAAGGATTTTAGATATGATAGTTAATTTCTAACAAAATTAATTGTTATCCAAACACGCCTTAGTGTATGAGAGAGAGAGAGATACCTAATAAGATGGTCCGGGTAATCTATCTCCAAACATTTAAGGTCATGATCTAGGCCATGACCCACAAGAACCCTTGCTCTCCCACCTCTAGAACGAGCCCTCCATGGTGCCTCCCCATTGTAAAGTATCTCCTCAACCGTCCTTTGCACTTGTTTTAATGGCATTGCCTCTCTCATGTGCTCCACCCTTATGCCAGTCATCTCATACCTACATCTCATGTCATTACCATCCATACATACATCATCATCCCTAATCATATGTCAAATTTTAAGATTTTGCATGAAATTTGAGATCATTCAAATAGGGGGTTACCTATAGTTGGTTATTGGGACATGTGGTTTGATGTATGTGTGGAATATGATATTTTCATGCTCATCAATTATGCAAACCCTAGCACATAAATCAAGAGATCCATCACCGCCTCCTCCTACCATTTTGCAATCTAGGGCAGCCGCTTCCATACCTTGGCTTTGGCTACTATTCACCCGGTACATTTGAGCACGGAGCCCCTGAATTCAATCCCCACATTCAGTATAAATACAATAAATACAATAAATACATGATTTTTAAAATAAAGAATTAAATCTATCATTCATGATCTGTTTTCATAATTGGGGGTGGGGGAAGAATTAACTGTGATTGTTTCTAAAGTTTGTTTTTTTTTTTTTAACCAGATTGAGACAAACATGTGTGCAAAATTTAAAATCATACAAATTACTCGAGCTCCAATGAGCATATGGCAAAGCCCATTGGCTTATGAAGTTCCTTTTCATATATTGAAGTTTTCAACTTGCAAGCTAATGGCGAGCCCATTGCCTCCTAGAAGTACTGTTAACCTTTCTATACAAACCACCTAAAACTGTTTGCTATGTGTCTCCCCACCTTTTATACGACTAATAGATATCAACTCTGAGTTCTAAGAACTTCTATTAGCATCATTTGAGAGTTAAAAAACAACGCAGACAAATAAGGTTCCCTTAAGGTCAATGAGCCTTGCCAAGGTAAATAAGGTTTCCTTCATTTTCAAGTTTATATAGTGTAAACTTAGATTTTGAATATGGTATTCTATTCGAAATATAACATGTTGATATTAGTGCCTCTCCCCACAAATTAGTAGGGAGGTTTGAACTTATGAGCATAGCATTCACCATATACATAAGTGTGCGACTTTCACTTTCAGCTAAACCATTCTAATGTGATGTGTATGAGGCAGTAACCTAGTGAATAATTCTATTTTCTTTCACAATATTTAGTGGAGTCAGTGGAGCAATATTCACCACATCCATCACTTCTGAAAATTTTGATTTTTATGTTCAATTAATTTTCAACTTTTGTTTCATAAAGCTTGAACTTCTCAAATATTTCGTTTATGTTTCTAATTAAATAAACATAGGTATATATTGAGAAATCATCTATGAAAGTGACAAACTATTTCTTCACACCACGGGTATGTATTTCTCTCATATCACAAATTAATATGTATTAATTTTAGTAACTTGGAACTTCTTTCTGCTTTAAGAAAGGGTTTTTTGTTATCTTTGATCATACACATACATCACATACAATAATTTTCAAAGCAGGAAGTAGGTTTAAAATACTCATCTTTCTCAAAGCATGATAATTAAATGACTTAATCTACCATACCATAAAGAAAATGAATCAATCATATACACAAAAAGAAGAAGTACTTTTTTCATTATGTGCGTTGAGTTTGAACATGCCTGTAGAGGCATATCCCATCCCTACAAAGACACCATTCTTTGATGAGATGAACTTGTCCGACTCAAAGACAAGTTTGATACTCCTCTTGTTCAACAGGTATGTAGACACTAGATTTTTTCGGACTTCAGGGGTGCCACACATTTAGAAGTATGAGAATTTTGCTGGATGTGAATTTCAATTTGACCATCCCCTTACCAACTTCTTTGGAGGAAGAAGAATTGGCCATGGCAATATCCTGCCCCACAAAGTCATAAGGTCTAAATATGTTTTGTTATTATAGACATGTCTGGTAGCTCTTAAGTCCACCCTCCATTTGATGGTGCTCCTTACAAAATTTACTTCAAAGAGCACGACTATAAATCTTTCCCGGGCAACATTGGTTTGAGCTATCTACTCCTTTCAAATTCAACAGGATTTATGCACATGATCGACTTTGCCACAAAAATAGCATACCATCGTGTTTCTTACGTTTATCCCAAGCTGCCTTTCCTTTTGGAGCTTTGGTGCCAGTGCCTGAATGAATCCAGAGCCAGAGAACTTTGAGCGGGGGATCAATAGTTGAAATCTTTGGAAGCGAAACGGAGGTAACCTTAGTCAGAACACTTTTCTTTTCTTCTTTCTTCTCTTCTTCTTGTATTCAAATTTGACTTTTTTTTCTGCGCTTGGCCTTCGCTTTTTAGTACCTTCAACTATGTGAACTTTGATGACCATTTGAGATTTGCACATTTAAAATCCCTATGCCATTCTTGGTTTTCATGAGCACTCTAGGGAATGCCCAATTCTCATGAGAAATGGGCTCTACTTTTCATAGTTACATAAGTAATTATATGGAGGATGTCTTTTGGTATGATGCCCCAACAACTTCACATCATCTAGACAAATAAAATCATTAAGAGCAAACCTCAACTTCTCCATTCATTACAACCAATTGTACCATAGAGCCAGAGATGTGGAAGAAATTTAAAATTTTCCACTAATTAATATTTTGATGTTGACATAAATCAGACATCACACAAGTGATTGTTTTTCCCTTTGAACATAGTACTTGGGAAAAGCCTTCCATTAGTGGATCCGCTAAGTTTGGTTAGAACATCATGATATGACTCTATCATTAAGAAAAAGTCTCAACTAATTGTGCCTCAAGCAAATATATTCAGATTTTCTGAATAGATCTTGCTTTTCGCTCGGTATATTGCTGCCTCACAATTACAACGTAGAGAGACTGCATACATGGGCTCTAAACAAGTGGAATGTCTACCAACAAGATCGTTAGGTACTCAGCCTTTCTGCTAGTGGCTTCCAATTATCTTAACTCCGGTTCCATTGTGGATTAGAGATATAGGTTTACTTTTCGAAACCCCAAGTAATGGCACCCCACCTTATGCGAAGATCCATCTGCTAGTAGACATGGATTCATGAGAAATTGTAATACAATTTGCATCATTCTACTCTTCTATTACAGAGTGCTAGTCCACGTTAATTTATATGAAGCTGGCTAAGCCACATGAGCAAAAGAAAAGTAAATCATAGGTTGCAAAAGCTTGAGGTGAGCTCGTTCACCAAGGTAGAAAATCTACCGCGGTGAAAACATTTCCACCATGGTGAAAAGATTTGCTGCGTTTAGAGACTCACGGTCATGTTACACCCATATATATATTTTTTAATTTCTTCTTAAATCTTATATAAAATACATAGAGAAGATTTAATAGTGGGATTAGTTGTATCCTGGAAGTATGCTCGTCAAGACTCAATTATATATTAAGAATTCCAAATTGAAGGCATTTTATAGCCACTGGGGTTAGTTGTATCCTGGAGGTATTCTCGACAAGACTCGATTATATATTAAGAATTCCAAGTTGAGGGAGCCTCTTGCTCCATCGGTTGAAGCATAGGGTCGAACATCGAACTTGTTTTTAAAAACCTATATTCATATTCCAAAAGTTTGAGCTTTAAGCTCATTGTGAACGAACCGTGTGTTCAATTTAACTGAGAGTATGAGCTCCATGCTTGAGTTGAACACTGTTTTATTTCCTGTAATTGCAGTTCTTCAGAAGTAATTCTCACTGCGGTTGACAAATCAATTATCATGGGGTTAAAGCCTAATTGAACTTATAGGACTTCAAATTGAGCATGGATTTCAAATAAAAGCACAACACAAACATTGAAATCAAACTTACAGGACAATGTGCAGGATACATTTGGCAAATTTGTTTATGCTTTTTAAGGGCTTCGGAGCTCTCAAATGTTCTCAAGCAAATGTTGCAGCCTCCAGCGTTAAACACCTCCGCACATTGAACCTTTGGAAGACGTCCTGAGAGTCACCATATTTACCAAAAGGTGTCAACATTTTCTTTTGGGTGGAGAAAGAGAGAGAGATCATTTTACAGAGAGAGAGATAGACCAATGACATGCTCTCTTAGTGAGTCGAGGGATCTGAAGTGCTTTCCACAAATGTCACACTCAGGTTCATGAACTGAGTGGTATGACGCCCTCATGTGCTCGATTAAATGCTCCATTTTGTTGTATTGTCGATAGCATGCAGGGCATTTGTATCTGCAAGAAGGTTACAATTACTCTTACTATATAAAGTCTCACAGTTCGAGGTGTGTTACAACGGTCTCCAATGGTCATGCGCATACTTGCATAAATTATCACAACTTTGCATCTACATCGACTAGACTGTGGCTCAAATCGAGAATTTTTTTTTGGTAATTCAGTGGGAAACACAACCCCCTTACCAGTTTTTTCAAGTTGTTTAGGAGTTAGCTTTTAATGGTGTAATTGGGGGGAATAGAAACTACAACGTGGTGACTAAGGTATGTGGTCCAAATCAATTTATTGACCAAGGAAGTCTTTACCAAGGCATGGGAAAATATAAGAGTGAGGTCCTAAATAATCAGATTAAGACGCATCTAAAAAATTCACTAAAAGATGTTGTTGCGACACTAAAAAAACCCTCGATTCAATCATCTCGACCTCTAGATGTATGGACATGAGGAAAAATATATTTCAAGTCGTGAAAATAGTGCCATCAATTTTCAAGTTTTCCAAATGTGCATAGATATGTTCAATCTTTACTATTTGAATGTTTAAAATTTATAGTTAGAGATAAAAATAGACTTTCATGCCATGCCATCACAAAGATTTCTGATACTGAAAAAATATATTTTGCTACTATTTCAAGACACACCTTACTTTGATTACTTGAGGCCTAAACTATACACAAATCGCACCCATATATATATATATATATATATATATATATATATATATATATANAGAGAGAGAGAGAGAG